TAAATTTCATATATTAAAAAATAAAAAAATAAAATAAAATAAAATAAAATAAAATAAAATAAAATTCTACTGTCAAAAGTTTAGACAGTATCAGATAGCTCTAACATCTCAATTCCTTGTTCATTCATATAATAATAAAAAATATTAATCACAGTAATAAAAGACCTTGAAGACTTACCATGTCAGACACTGTGTGATCTACACTCCTTATTATATTTAATCCTCCTAACATCTTTGCAAGTGGGTGTTAATGCAGGTCACAGATTAAGGAGATTATGGCTTGAAACTCATCAGAGTGGGCTCTGAATTGTTTTTGAAAACATTTCTTGGCTACCCCACAGATAATTCCTTGGCCTTCCTCCAACTGGCAGGAGAAAATGACTACATATTTGGATGAGAATCTGTACTAGGTTCTTAGTTTTCACAAAATACTGTCAAGTCTATCATTCTGCTTTAACTCAAGTTTTAAGCCATTAGCAGCCATAGAGTATAGTAAAACCAAAACACTACCAGAAAACATAACATTGAAGTATATGTTACTTTTTAGTGGAGGTTTGTTTTATGTGATAGCACACATAAAGAAGAGCTTGAGAAATATGTAATCTGTTTTTTCCCCCAGTTTAGAAGATATAAGTTCAAATGCCAGCAAAGGGTCAGGCAATTAACATACATAAGTGAAGTGAGTCAAGTGTATGATAATAGGAAGGAGTAAAGACTGGCCATCTGAATAGACACACCCTGTCTGAAGGCAGTTAAACTCAATATTTTTTTTAAATGTGTTACCTTTCTTTGTCTAAGGCAAGTTAAATTAAACTTTTTAAAACATACTTACATTTTTGTCATTTATCCTAGAAACTCTAGATAGGTGCTACACAAAAATGAGGCAATTTCATCTATTATACCTATGGAGTCAATTGATTACATGTGTAATTAAAAATTTTAACTAACTTGGATATGATATATTAGAATGAGTATATCTTTCTATTAAAGATACTTGGCCACCCACCCCTATCCAAGATGAATCTAAATAGTTTTCCTTGTTACATTTAGAGCCGTAATCCAGTCTTAAATGAGCATTCTGAATATAGGACATAATAACAGAAAAATGATTATATTAATGGTTGTCAATAATTTTAATACTATGCTTTCACAGTATATTTTTTTTTTTTGTAATGCCACTTAATTCTCACTACAAGTCTGTTAGATAGTTATTATCTGTATTTAACAAATGGGAAAACAGGTTCAGGTAGATTACAATGACTTTCCCCAAATTACTACTGTGTAGATTTGGAAGAACAAAGATCTACACCAGATCTTTTTAATAAATGCAACAGTCTTTTCAATGCAACACAATTGTGTCTAAAATTAGAATATATGGAACCAGAATCAAAATCATACATGTGATAGAAAACTGCCATTCCTACTTGGATGGACCCAGAGCTCTTCCACATTGGGCCTCTCCTCAATACTTCACTCAGACTCTCTGGTGAGAACCTTATAATATCAAATTGTTACTTAAATAATTACTATCTTTTTATCCAAAAATCATAGGATTTACATAGTCCCAATACATTTTTCTACCTAGAGCACTTCAGGTCTTGCACTGGGTGGTATTCATATTATCAAATTTAATAGTTAAGGCATACCACTTTTAGTCAAACTCCACAATATAGCTTTTACATTATTATGGAACTAATATGGGTTTTACTGTGAGTCATCTCAAATCATTTTTGGAAGTATACAGGGAATAAATTATGAATAAATAGGTATAAGTGCATAAATAAAAAATACCAAGTTTCTGCCAGCAAAGGACAACTTGAAATCAGATTTTATATCATCTCTGAGGTGATTTTTATTCACAGAATACAGAAGCAACACTTTCATCATCAAAAATTTTCTTTTCTTTCTACTGAGTATAATAGATTACTTAAAGCTTGTACCTACTACTTTCCTTATACTTGTGCCATGTTTGCAGAGATACAATGACCAACCATTCCATTTGTCCCAGTCTGTCCTGATTTTAGCCCTGAAACTCCTCAGTCCCAAACAAATCAAAATGTTGGTCATCCTAAAATGGAGCACAGAAATAATTAAACTAAAGATCTTTGAAGGTGCCTTCTTGAACTAAGGCTATATTTTTCAATGAATTTTTATAATTTTTATTATAATTAATGTTTCTGTGCTAGAAGCAGATTACAATTTATTTGCCATGTACTGTCTACACTGGTCTATTTTTTCTCTCACATACTCCTTCTCAGCATCATATCACCCAAGAGATTTTGACAGGGAAATTTCAACAAGTGGTAGAAAAATTCTGTTGAGGCTTTGAGAGGATTTTCATCACTACTAGTGCATTGTTGCTTCAAACATTCAACTAAGAAGAAATGTATAAACCTAAGCATGGAAATTAGAAAATCTTAACAGAAGCAAATTATAAGCTTTTCTCTTGTCTTCATTTGTTGTTGTGCTCAATTATCTAGCTTATGAAATAGAAAGTGGATGTTAGTAAAATCTGGCTTGGTGACCCATCCATGGGGGAGCCCTTGCAGTTTTCGGCAGGGAAATGAACATGGTTCTCACCATACCCCAATATTTATAGCTCATATATAACTTACATGCACAATTGCACCACGTAGAAGAGAAGTATAGATGAAGGGGCCTGGAGCGCCCCCCTCCCTCATACACATAATAACTTCTCCTACTCATCTATTTGCAGCTTCCTGAGACACAACACCAGCTGAAGTAGAATCCATCATCCTGAGATAAATAAGTCTCCCTTCAAGAAAACCTGGAGGACTCAAGTTAGTACAAAAGCAAGGCTTTCTCTTCTGTATGATCCCAATATGCAACTTGTTTAATATACCAGGGTCAATGGGAGAGAGTGGGAGTATACAGCTATGTAGCATTTAAGGAAGGCATAAACAAACGGTGTATATGAAAATACTTCCAGATTTCCATTTTCAAAAGCCCTATACCTAGAGTTTAGACACAGATGAATAAGCTACAGCTTCAGGCTAGGTGTGCACCCCTGCCACCCCATTGTAATGGGCCAAAATTGATGACTTTAGAGGTAATTATGTTGAATTTGACAACTAGAAACCAAATATCAAACTGAGAAATGTTTTCTGCCTTATATGTTGTTTGATATACAAAGTAATACATATTTTGGACAATTTTATGACATCTCATTAGTGAGCTGTTAAAGAAGCTGAACTATTATTCATACTGATGTTTTAAATATTTATACTAAACGTATTTTCTTGGGATAATTTAAGTAACAGAATTTAAACTAAATATATATTTAGAGCAAGGTTGTAGCCCAGTAATGGGGAAGAGAAGACTTCAGGCCTCCTGGGTCCCTCCCTCTCAGGGACAACTGAGATGCCATCAGGCCAAACATGAATATGGATGAGCAAAGCTAATGTGAGCCCATTGTGCATAGGGCAGCCTGTATTATTCTTAGTCAGTTTGAAGAGTGAAACACAGAAAAGGAAAATAATTGATGTCTAACACAAGTCCTTACATATAGCATGAAAAATTCCCCAAATTAAGATTTTGCTTGAGAGGCACACCAGGTTCCTGATTTAGATTTAGAAGACTAAATCTTGTAAAGTTGTCAATTCGCCTCAATTTCATTTATATACTCAACAAAATTTCAATTAAAATTCCAAAACTGGGGGGGGGGGCCGTTTTACCAAATTATTCTAAAATGGTCTGGAAGAAATAACGGTAAGAATGTCTTAAAGCTACACATAAACACAGAGAAAACAAGAAGAGGGTATCAATCCTACCAGATATTAAGTAAATAAAAACATTTAAATCTGTGCAATATTAATAAAAGAACTGACAGAAAACTAGAATAAAATAAGTATACCAGAAGCAGAAACCCACTTTGTAGGAGTCTATATGTGTCTACTCCCACAATATGATAATATATGATACGTGATAGAAACACAAATAAATGGGAGACGAATGGATTATTCCAAAATGGCTGCTGGAAAATGCTTAACTATTTTTAGGAGGAAATCAATATAATTCTCATCTCACACCACATACTGTCATGATGTTGGGTGGACTCGAGAAAAAAAATCATTAAAGAACTGGATATAAATTGTTTCAAGGAAAGAACAATCCAGGGAAATATTAATCTGTGAATTTGAATGAGACAAAGTATTGTCCAGGCAAAATAAGCAACAGCAGAAAATACAACTTTCAACTTCACTAGACACGTTTTCAACTTTTATATGTTAAAGAAAATAAGAAAGAAAACAGTATAGATGACGTAAATGACAAAGAAACAGCGTCCCTAATTCATAAAGGACATTAAAACTGATGAAAAGAAAACCAGGGCCCCATTACACAAACAGGCTAAAAATAGGAGTTAATATTAAAAAATAAAGTATAAATGAAAATAAGCATTTCAAAAGTGTTCAGCCTCACCTCATCAAATAGTACAAGAAGAATGTAGTCCTTTAAAGCCTGGATTTAAAGTAAAATCAATTATTGTCCAAGACCTAATTCTACCACTTTCTAGTTGCATGACCTGGGGTAAATCACTTCACTTCTCAAAATATAAGTTTCCTGCTCTAAAGTGGGATGATAATATTGTTCTCCTCTTACAGTTGTTGTACAAAGATTAAATGAGATAATATAAAGGAATTACATGATGAAGGGCCTGTAGGAGATACTCAATAAGTGTTATTATTGTTATTATTGATGATGATAATATTGATGGTGTTAACGATCATCTTCACTTTCCCCAATAACAAAATTTTTAAAAATAATAATATCCATCAGTGCTGGTGAGGATGGAGGTATTACTTGTGTACTTCCAGGGAGAATGGAAATGGGTGCAATCTTTCTGGAAAGGTCATTTGGCAATATGCATAAGAAGTTTTTAAAAAGCTCATATCCTTTATCCAGTATACTACTTCTAGAAATCACTCCTTAGAAACAGTGAAAAATACAGACAAGGAATATCAGAAAATGAGGTCATATAGAAAATATTCATCCCAGTGTGATAACAGCAAAAGGGGGTGGTGGGCAATAAGCTGAGAGAATAATTAAACAAATGATAAAGACCCATATGCCTAACTACCAAATAGCAATTAAAAAATGATAGAGAAATTATTTAAAAGCATGGGAAACATGATTTTCTTTTGTTCATTGCAGCAAACCAGAACAGAGTTTAGCATAGTACCTGGCACATTGCTCAATCAAATTCTAAACTGAATTGAACAACATAATTCTAAGTGGAAAAAAAAATCAGAACACTCATTTTCACACACACACACACACACACACACACACACACACACACACCTTGCACATAGTTTAATCTCAATTTTTGTAAAAGAATTATAGAAAATCCTAGAAAGAAATATGATTAAATGTTAACAATACTGTCTTCGGGTGATTTTTTTCTGACTCTTTAGACTTGTCTCTACTTGCCAAATTTTTTTCAGTGGAGATTTATTACATTTATAATCAAGGGAAAAAATGAGTGGGAAAAAAAAAAAGGAAAGAAAGAATCGCAGAAATCAAATCAACTAGAAGCCAACTGGCTCAATTATTTCTCATTACACCATTCTAAGTATGTACCATTCTTCACTCCTACCCAAATATAAAATGTGAAATGGAAATATGAATAGCATGAATAAATTGGGAAGCAGCCTTAAAACATAGTCCAGGAAAGAAAACATTATAGTAATTTCAAAAAAAAAAAGCCAAAAATCATGTATCTAGTATTAAGGAAAGTATACAGGGGCTTTTCTTCATACATAATTTATACATATGAAGAATATGGCATGGATGGCATGGCATAAACTCTTTCAATACAAATTACTTGTTTTCTCTACAATGGAATTATATTTTTTCTTAGATATATGTCACAAAGATTTACATACAGTGGTAATTTTTTGAATCAATTTTTTGAAACCTGAAAGAATTTTATTTATTTAAAACTCTAACTCTCCTTAAAATCTAAAAGGTATATTTTAGAATATCCATGATATTCGCAAAGGGGAGGACCAAACAATTTCTCAGTTTTCCAAATTCTCAAATACACTCACCAGGGGAAATTATTAGACTTAGAAAGTGAAGTGCCATGTTACCTTTGGGCCACTGACTAAACTCATTCCTTGAAAGACCAGTTTACAGGACTGAGAGACTTAAATTTATGCCTCAGAGAAACTAGAGATTACTATATGTCATGCTCCTTTAAGATGAATGGTAAAATCTTGACTCATGCAAACTAACTTCTTGCATACCAAGAGTGTGCTCGATGTCTGCCTCTTTAGAAGTAAAATGTTATATAAGAGAACTGTGGTTATAAGGTATGCAGACAGTCTACATTGTCTTAATCTAAGAAGCCGAATGCAGCGATTGGTTTATGGAGTATGTACTAACATGTACACAAATTTAACATGTTTAAGGAACATTACTATACACTTCTGGTGATCACAAAAAATATGTGACGTAGAACCTAAATTGAAATTCATTCCCTAATTATATAAAGTCCACCATATTTTTCAGAAACAAAGTCAAGTGCTTAATTTACCTAACACCAAGATTTCAGACTTTTTAAAGAAAATATGTAGTGTTTTAACTGCAGCAATTATTTTTAAAATTCCTCTTCATACAATAACTGCTTTTGTAAATAACTACTTCACAAGTGTATTTCCTTTGATATAATATCTAGGATTTGCTTTCAAAAATTTGAGGGAGGGGAAGAGGGAGTAGAATTGCAGATGACACAAGAATAGCCATGATTTGACAGTTATTAAAGGTGGAAGAAGGGTACATGGGAGTTTGTCATACTATTCTGTTTTTATTATGTTTGAAATTTTATGCAGTAAGAAGTTTTTTAAAGGAGTATATTTCTTAATCATGCCAATTTATATTGATTAACTTTTTCCTTGGTCTCCATTTCCATAAATCTATGTCCAGTAAACACGGCTGAAACGCTTACCAAATTGAACATGAGGAGGGTTACAACCAGGATTGCTAAACAATGCAGAGGTCCCATTCTGGTGTCTGGAGGGTGGAATAAATTCATTAACTCTTCCATGACCCACAGTTTAATCATTTAGCCAAAGAAAGAGATACATACATCTAGATTAACAACAACAACAACAACAAATGGTGTAGATAAACTTCAGCTATCCTCACAACCAACAAATTGTAGTGCTACGTAACTAGCCCAATTTGATCATTGTGGTGCCCAGGCAATCACTATTACAGAGGATACTAGGGGATCTGCTGAAGCGTCAGTGAGACAATCTGCACTTGTTTTTTTCCTTTGCATTGTCCCAAAGACAATGAGATAGAGAAAAATTAACAGTTATAGCCTTCAACCTCCTAGAAGAAAATTTTTTTGCTCAGCTTGTATACTGAGAGGATTAGGATTAAAATACAAATGGTTAAACAGGGGCACCTGGGTGGCTCAGTTAAGTGTCCGACTTTGGCTCAAGCCATGATCTCATGGTTCATGGGTTCGAGTCCCATGTCAGGCTCTGTGCTGACAACTCAGAGCCTGGAGCCTGCTTCAAATTCTGTGTCTCCCTGTCTCACTGCCCCAACCCCATTCACATTCTGTCTCTGTCTCTCAAAAATAAATAAACATTAAAAAAATAATTTTAAAAAACCATACAAATGGTTAATAAGATGGCTATTTTAGAATGGCCTTTTTTTTTCCTATCATGTTCACTTAATTTTTTATTTTCTTTTCTCTTAGTCATAAGCAGAATTCTGGCACATTTAATTCCATTAATTTCTAATAATTCCACCTATAAGCAGACCCCACATAAAAAGCAGTGTATGTTAAATATTACAATCAAATCTTTAAAGTCTCACAGACAATAGATCTTCTAAATATACTGCTAAAGATTTAGCTTCATGTTGATTTTAATTTCATTAACACACTCACAACATAAATAAATTCTGCTTAAAAGAAAAGCTTTAATAATAAATATATTGCAATTAAAATGATACAAGGCTACTAAGCATTGCACACTGCCACCTAGTGCTAAATGTCTTTTTAACTCCAAATACACAATGGGTGTCTTCAGGAAAGGGGAAATGCTCTGTTTTAAAGCAAATTTATCCAGAAAGACAGATATAAAACATATTTTTCATAATTCATTCAATGTAAGAAGGCTATTAAAATAAGTGAAATTACACATACCATAAAAATCAA